AAATATATGAGAACTCCTAAATGAAGAGGTTCCAGCAGCGGTGCTCGCTGAACAGGAGCTGCGCTTAAATTACAGGATGTATTTAAAGGCTGTTCCACTCCCCAGGCAGCTTAAATCCTGTTCTGTTAGAGCCTCTCTGAAGATGCTTTTTGGATTTACGAACTGTATGTTTGTGTGGTGTGTGTGTCTGTATGGACACGCGCGCGCGCGCGCGCACACACACACACACACACACACACACACATACACACATACAGTTATACAGAGGTAATTATTAGGATAATAATCAGATAACACTTTACATATGTGAATATGGTGCGAAGTTATCAGTTAGGAGAATTGGTGGTGTTTGTTCGGAAAACAATATATGGTTTCCTTAATATTGTCGAAGTGTTGGAGGTTCCCTTCCTCTGGTACTGCTTCTCTCTCTTCTCCCTCTTTGGCTCCTTCTCAACAGATAACAAATAGGAAATTAAAAAATGAAGAGGGGAAGGAAAGGGATGTGTTTTCTCCCCCAGCGGTTGAATGTGTAAATTGCAACGCTGAATGTTCAGAACATCTGCTTTAGCTGTTAGGCTTGGGTATTCATGGTTTCTTTGATTTTAGGCAAAATGACTTAATATACAAAATAATGAAAAGTTCCTAACACACATAATGGAATTCCACAAACAAACCAAGGAACTTCTTGTTCCTTCAAAATAACTTTATCACAGCTACTGTGATAGTTGACTTTAAATCCATCTCCAGCATTCTGGTTTGAGAAGTGTTAGATGGTGCACCAAAAAATGTTTCGTTTTGTTTTTTCAATTGTAATTTGCTAAAAATAGGTCAGAATCCCCAAACCCAGCTTCATGGGTGTGTTGTCTCTCCCTTATTTGAAAAGCTGTAAGAGAGAGAAAAAAAAATTGGTCATTCTTGCACCTTTTTGCTTTCTGCAGATGTTGAGTTTCCAGGTCCATGTTTTCCAGGAGACTAAATAGCTCAGGGATTTGTTTTCAAGGATTATTTTTTTTCTTTTAAGAACAAACCTATCACCTTCAGGGCATTGGTTTGTGTACAACTAAAATCAATAATGTCTATAACTCATCCCTTGGTAATTACCATTCTGTGTCTTATTTAAATGAGATAGCACTTTTCAGATCCTAGCCAACCATCCCTGGTGGTAGGGTCTAGTTAGAGACATTAACATATTGGCCCAAAGAATTTGCTTATTCTCTGCTTAGAGGGAATCACAGAGGGGAAGGGGAATTAATTAGTCATTACTGAGCGCCTGCTCTGTGCTGGGCAGTGAATAGTCTTGGCTGCATATACTTCATACACTTCCAGGAGGTATTGTCTCCAATTAATATTTGAGGACCCTGAGGTCAGCTAATAAGCTAGGAACACCGGAAAACAAGAATGGTGGAGTGTGGTGTTTGTATGCCCATGGGACTGATGCCAAATGCCATACTGCTTCTCCTACTTTCAAAGAACATGTTCTCTGAAAGAAGATGAGAGATGGCAGCTGGCATAGGGATCTAGAATATACTTGAGAGATTTGAAGAGGGTCCAACTTGATTTCCATATTTTGATTTTCAGTTCTTTAGTTACAAGAGAGAGAATTTGAGAGTCAGTCTGAAGAGAAGGAAGTGTTGGGTTTTGGAGGCCAGCTGAGCTGGTGGCATGTGTTTTCCCTTCTGCCCTTCCAAATAGCATACTCTCACAGTGTGGAAAGTTGGGAACAGTAATGGAAGCCCCCTGCCTTCCCATTCCTCCCAAGAACACTGGCTTAGCACAGTTGCTTTGCATGAAAACAGTATTACTACTCATGATGTTAACAGTGCCCATCATTTGTTGGGTTATGCACCCTATGTCTGCCTAACATTTGCATCGTCTATAAAAGCAGTTATTAGTGTTTCCACCTAACCTTTGAGAAAACGGAGACTTAGAAAGATTAAGTAACTTGCCCAAGGACCAAGGCTAAAAATGTTATACCCAGAATTTTAACCCTACTGTGTCAAGCTCCCAAGCCTGTGCCTTTT